ATAGCATATATATATGTAACTATTTTAAATTATTAATAAAGATATAAGCAAGGCCTCACCTTAATATCAAAAAAAAATAAAAAATAAAACATTCAGTTTAAACATATGTATTCTCAATATAATGAATTTGTATATAAATTTTATAAAACATTTAATATACATAATGAGCCTTAATGAGAATTTATATCTAAATTAATACAATATTTACTTATAGGCCACACAGTATCAATCTATTTATTAATTCACACAATTATTATATGTGTAGTTATTAATTTTATTATAGTAAGGTAAAATTAAAATAAAACTTTCATTTTCATCATTGCCTGTAATAGGCATATACAGTACTTTTTATATGTCTAAATTAATGCAATCTGTTAGATTATAGAAAATTTTTAAATGTAATAAACAAATAAAATACTCTGTTAATAATCTGTACAATTTAAAAAATCTTTAAAATCAATTGTTTCATCTTTATCTATCAATATTTCTAGACCAAAATTAGATGATGATAAAGGTGGCAAGCGTCACATCTAAATAAAAAGCCATTAATGCAATACAATAAATAAGACTTGCAAAATAATGAGTAATGCTAAGTAAAATCTAAAATAATAATTAAAAAAATCACTATTTTAGGTTTTTACTTAGCATCACTCATATATTAATCCATCTTGGACACAATACTCTGTTTCATAATATGTCTTAGTAATAAATAAATGCCAAAGATAATTCTTTGTATAGTAAGTTTCTAGTTTGTTTCTTCATGCTGTTGTAAAAATATTGGAATTACAATAATGTTAATTTATATTTACTATAATTAAAATTTTTAAAAACTTGTTGAGCATATTTTTAAAGAGATAAATTGTAAAATCTTAATTTTTGAGATCTTAGGCCTATAGTAATAATGAGTAGAAGAATCTTCAGAATTTATGATAGGTACTGCAGTATTAGTAGAAATGTATAATAAAGAAACTATATTATGAAACTGAACTTTTTGTAAATGCAATATAATAAGTTTCATTCTATAAATAAGCTATTGTTTAAAGTTTAGTTTTCTAATAAACCTTTATTATAGTACATTAATCAGAATAAGATTTGTTATGAACTAGTTAATTAAATTATTTTTTTTAAAAAAAAAAAAATTGGATAAAATTTTTAAAATCATGATTTGAATTTATAAATTGATTGGCTTAGCAAAATAGTAGTGATCTACTATAATAATACCTATTATATAAAACAGAACTGCAAATAAAATTTTAATATATAAAGTATTTTAGAATAGACACAAAGCTATAAGTTACTAAAAACCAAATATCATATAATATAAAACATATATATTATGCTAATTGCTTATCTGTAAAATTTTAAATTTAATTAGCTAAAACATTTCTTAAAAAACAAAAACAAAAAAGAAGTAAAAAAAAAAAAAAATTCTTATATTATATTCTTTACATAAAATGAACACTTTCAGAACTATAATTATTTATTGTTAAAAAATTCTAAACTTGTCTGCTTTTTTTGTTATATGATTAAGTTTGAAATTCATTTTTTAAATAAGTTTACAATTTTTAAATATTTATTTTCAATACACAGATTTTTTGGTAGATTAGCTAAAAATAATCTAATATTCTCCAAGCTTTCTATTATCATATTAAATAAAATTTGAATTGGGAGTTTATTTTCATCATCATTATCTTTCTGAAATGTAGCAATGATTTTTTGATTTGATGAAATTGCAATTGTAAATAATTCATTATCGATCTTTATATATTCTGATACTGATAAAACATCATTAATGTTAATAGAAAACTATTCAATTAAATTATAAACTTCTAATTGATCACTATAATATTCATTATAGCGATAGTCATCTAATAGTAAGTCATTATTGTCTAATTCAACTGGAAGAATTCCAGTCTTATGTCAACAATTTTTAATTGTTTTATCTGAAGCTTCATTTCATACCAATACATAATAATTAATTACTTTTTTTATATTAATTGGACTTGAAGGAATTTGACTTATTTGTGCAAATTTATATGTATCCAACCAGTTTTGAATAAGATAGTATCTGTATTTGTTCTTATAAAAAAATTTAAAACTTTAATAAAGTAATGTATTACATGTAAATTTATTTATATAGTATTACTATAATATATATACTTTAAAAAAGTTAAAAATTCTAGCATCTATTAGTTGAATATGGGCTGTAGTATTTGGAGATAACTTCTCTATTTTTATATTAGTTAACACTGAACCTTCATCAAGAATATAAGTTGATGTCCTATCAATTAAAAGTAATATATGATGCTTTTGATGTTGTATTTTTGAATTCAAATCTTCAAGATAAAAATTCCAAATAGATTTTTGCATCCAAGTGGATTTGTTCTAAAAATAATCAATAGACAACTTGCTTTTATCTATGTTTTAAATTAAATATGAATTTTTATATTTATGAATTAACAATAGTCTTAACCTTTCTGACCTAATTGCATTTGTAGTTAACAATACTATAATATGATCTTTTGACTTTTTAGTTCCTGAAACTGGTTCTATTACTAATATACAAGATGGTTTCAATATATAATATAAACTGGTTTTATTGTAATTAAAAACATTATTAAACTGATATGGTTGAATAATATTTTGTAATTTATTTCTAAATTCAAGTAATTTGTCTAAAGATATACTATTAGCTTTATCTTGACATTTGTATTCATGAATATTATGCTTTTGCTTAAAATTATATAACTATCTATTTGATGCATTAAACTTATCTTGATTTAGTAATTAAACAAATTCTTTTGCCTTATTTTAAATAAGATAATTAGTTAAGGTTTGCTTATTTCCTATCATATGTTTAATCCAAAATGTAATGGCTGACTCAACATTTACAAAAACAGGTCTTTTGTTCTGTTTATTATTTGCATCATTAGAAATTGGATTAATAGATAACCAATGGTCTGATTTTGTCAAAATCTCACTACAAGAAGATTCACTAATTCTAAATTTGACTGCAAGCTCTTGATTTTTAATACTAAATTCATTTTTTTCTAAAGACATAAATCATACCATTGACTATTGGTCAAGGTAACTCTTTTTTTCTTTTGAGTATTATTAGGCTTATTTTCAATTTGTCACTTATTTGTAGTTGTATTTATACTAAAAAAAGAGACAATGTAAAATTTTCAAGTAAAAAAAAATACTTATACTTTGATTATACTTTGATTATACTTTGATTACACTTTGATTAAGTTACACAAAGTTTCGTTATATAGTAAATATTTGCTTAATATTTCGCTTTATTAAGGTATTTGTTATATCAAGATAATTTTCTTATAAATAAATTGTAAATTGTTTCGTAATATGATATACAGAGGTTTTATAATTAAAATTCGTTATATTGAGGTAATTTTAAACTATAAAATTCTAGCTAAAAAAAATATTCGTTATAATAGCACTTTTGGTTTATTGAGGTTCGTTATATCGAGGTTATACTCACGTGTTTGCTGATTTATTGTATTATCTACTTTACTATACTCACGTGTTTGCTGATTTAATGTATTATCTACTTTACTATACTCACGTGTTTGCTAATTTAACTCACTACTTTACTGAACCATACACTACTACTATTCGTATTACTCTAAAATTTAAGGATATTCATATTTATTGCATATGTACAGACGGAAAATAACGTTTTTTCCGCTTCGTTCTTGGCAACTAATGATCAGCAAATCTTAGGGTAAAACCCGCGGGGTTCATTCTGTAATATTATGTATATTATGCCGCTTATATATTTCTTACATACCATTAGCATGTAATAGTTAGAAAATAGGTTATCGGGAAAGTGGTTCCGTAAGTGCGAAACCAAAAATCTTGAAAGTCAAAACTACTTTCGAATACTGTACTTTCAGTTCAGCTATCTACTTTCGACAGACAACATGAATCATTAATACATTAAAAACGTATGTATTATGACTATGATTATGACTAATGATCAATTACATATCGATATAGTGTGTTTTTTTGAGAATTCTTAAATTATTACTTAATCCACAGCTTGCACTCGAAAAATGTGTACCAGGTTTGCGGTGCAGTTCTCCTGAACTACGATTCGATTTCAAGATTAGGTGTAACGTAACATGATCACAAAGATTCAGAACAAACGTTTGTTCTGCCACAAATCGAAATCAGCACAAGAAATCACTTTTGTGCTCTAACAAACCGTTTTCTTTGGACATTTTACCATATAAACTACACCCCTCTAACTCCTAACCCTGACCTTAACCCTAACTTTACCGAATTTTAAGAATTTCGTCTGCGTCACAAACCTGGTACACATCTTCCAAGTGCATACGAATTATGAATTATGAATTATAAATTACTTTATATCGATACATACTTATACAAATAAATAAGCATTGGCTTTAGGTACATATGCATTTGTAATCTGTATGAACCAGTCAGGAGTAGAATATTCAAGCCCTTACACATGTAAGTAGAGGCCCAATTAATAGTTATTACACGGAATTTTGGAACAAAATCAATAAATACACGTCATTGTTCTTTATTTAATGAATTTGATCTGATGAATATATATGCATATATCTATATATGTATAATATTTACACAATAACGTAATTGTTAAACATGCATATTCTCAAACAAGAAATCCTGCTTCATTAAAAAATACCATACATATATTTTTCCCAAAAGAAAGGTTTGCCCACTGAAATACAAATATCATTCGTTACGCGGATTAATTACAATTTTTTTGAACAAGGAATCTATGGATTTTCCATTTTGTATGATACGAATTAACTTCGATTTTATAATCATCCCAAAGTTTATCCAAGTCTTTCTCATTAAGTTTCATGTGATACATTATTCCTTTTTGTAGTCCAGACAACATATGTAGCATTATGGCAAGACCAAGTTCGCCTTATTGGAAAAGTAAAGATAATAAGATTCGGCATGATGACATTTATGACATGAATGAAAAAAAAAATTACTTGCAAATATACCTATTTGGCCTCCCCATGATCCTATAGGCATGACAACTTCCGATCTAGTGACCTTACCCATTTGTGGATGTGATTCTATCATTTCATTGAATTTCATAAAGAGGGAGAGACTTCGACCACCCTGGACCAATATCTTTTCAACTAAATAAACAAATGGTCAATAATGTATAAAAATAAACACTATTTTCACAATGAACAGTAAACAGAACTTACCTACAACACCCAATTGTTCTGTAACAGCACCGGGATTGTCAGCATTTAAATCACCTTCGACACATTCTATGTAACCACCAGGTTTGAGTACCCTTATATATTCTTTTTATGGATTTTATTGATTAATTATTAGATTTATGTAATGAATAAAAATCTTAATAAAGTTACCTTTAATTAAATGATTTTTCCACTGTGATTCGCTGAATGCGAAGAAATTTAGCCGGGAATAAATTAAATCGAACGTATTATCTATAATAAAGATTGATATTTACGTATAATGCTAAGCATTTAACATAAAATTTTGAACAATTAAATCGAATACATGAATTTTGATTTTTATCACCTGAAAATGGAAATTGTTCTAAAACATCAGCCTGAATTATTTTAATATTTCTTGGCTTATGATCAGGGTACATAGGAACCTTTTCTATTCCTATAAAAGTTGATTGTGGAAAATCGGAAGCCATCTCAGATAGCCATGTTGCTTTGTTTTTTTAAAAAAATCGCGTAAAGATTAAACCTCTGAACGATAAATTGCGTTAAATTCAGATTAATAGAATTTACCTGTGCCAGAACTATGCATTGAGCATTCAAATCAACAAATAAATCGTTAGGGATAAGCTATATTCACGAAAAGACTAACGTGTCATTCGATTTTGTATAAACTTACCAGACATCCAATACTACAGCACTACCTTCTCTCAATTGTTCGTCTACTGGAGCTTTAAAGTTCCCATTACTAATACATCTCATAACGTTATGCAATACTTGCATTCTATCCAAGTATAGGTCATCTTGTTTATTTAGTTGAGGGCATTCAGTATTTCGTATTTTATCATTAGTAGCTTTGTTAATCTTGTGTATTAATTTAGGAAATTTGGAATGCCTGTGGCCCATAATTGATAAGATTAACAAAAAAAATTTAAAAAGAAATGATCGTAAATTATAAAGAATTATAAGAAGTTTTTTCTTTTGTTACAGACAATTTGTAAAAATATTATAATCCTTTATTTTTATTTTTTATCTTTTTTTTTGAAAAAAAAGTAATAATTATGAGTAATAAATAATTTTAAGATCAGATCCGCGTTATTTAAGTTATATTAGTCATTCACTAATGTTAGATTATATAATTTGTAATCAACTTTATTATACGAAAGACAAAGAACCATAAAAAAGGCCGAATTCTATGAAGGTGGTTGAATAATTCAAATATGACTGGTACATTCATAATTATTTTGTTAATCCATGCTATATATATTAATTACATGAATAGTAAATTAGTGAATAACACGATTTCCGAAAATTAATACATATGTAGAAATTTCAACCAAATAAAGAACTATATATTTGGTATAAAAAGTTAATACATATGTCAATTTATGTTTAGATGAATAAAAATAAAGTTAAAATGCCCGGATGTAACCAAAAAGATTTTTTTTACAGGTAAGTACATACGTATACGTAAGAAATTTATTATGACATTCCCTGTATAATTTGTAACAAAATACCTTATCATTTATAAAATAAAGAATATTCTTTTTTTAGGACCGTTAATAACCAATCAAATTATAAATTTATTTAACGACCAACCAACTTATTTAATGTCCGAAAAAAATATATATACTAACTAAAAAAAAATGGATGAATGTTTTTGATTTTACTAACCATTAATACTATACAAACATTGTGATTGAATTGTTGAACTACATTGGTAGTGATGATAAATGGATTGCAATTCAAACAAAAGTTTAACCGTCCTTTAAATCACATAATAAAAAAGTTGTTCAATTCCAAAAGTTATCTACCCGACATAACACACGGTTAGTGTTAGCATTTGATTAACTGCGGGTATATATATTTTAGCAACTTGTCATCCTATGTGTAAGTGGCCTGTCGAGTAAATGATCGTGAAAATAACGCGTCTGATTGGTTAGGGTTATGATGATCAGCCAATGGAATTCTTTAATTTCCACAGAAATATATAGTTGATATTACACAAAATCAGTTTATTTGTGTGAACTGGATCAGGAGGTCCCACAAGTTAACTATGCCAAGAATGCAATTATCATCACTATGGACACATTAGATCATAATTTATGTACCCAAAACTCATTCTCGGAAGGACACAATACCCGACTAAATCATATCAAGTATTAAGCCCGGAAAGATAATAACACCAGCTAAATCATAGAGTGTTAAACTAGTAGACCTGCTAACTTTATCTGGAAAATGTCATTCTGGAACTTGAGTTATATTGGTTTACAGCAATGTAGCTCAAGTTCCTGAAAGTTAGCAGGCACTAGCTTTATACAGGCCAATTTAGTCTTTTCGGGAAGTTGATCCTCAGCATTGTAATCAATCATAAACTAAATGAGAAAAGACAAGTGCGACTAACAAACTTAACCAAATTTAGCCGAATTGCATTAATTACAATTTTAATCTCAAAAACTTGATTTTTGCAAAAAAAAAAAACAATAGAAATTCCTATTGATCTAACCCATTCTTATGGTAATTTGGCATTAGTAGAAAGGTGTCCCTGCTGCTTGCACCAAGTTTTTTGTGTCATAAGCCATTTTAAAGTTGATTTAAACCATTTATTTTATTGCAAAATTGTGCTTATCAACAAGATCAAGTACATAATTATCCGATGTAATTAATTATGTCAGTACTACATTATTTAATTCTTTCATGATTAATCCAATCAATACCGAAATTTTTTGTGAAAACTGAAGAAGCTAACGCTGAAGTAGAGATGTTACGGTCCTGCAAAGACCGTGCGTGGTCTGGACCAGTCCAATCGGTTTTCGGTCCTAAATTGAGGACCGGGTCCAGACCAATCCGTAGATCATAGAATGATCTTATTGACTAAAAAAAGTAAAAAATTTCCGATGATCGAATCTAATTCATTAACTTGTTGATTTTGTCTCAGTAAATTGTCGATTCAATTTTTTCCGATGATCTAAACTGTGATCCGTCATGATTTATATATGCACATGACTTACTCATGTATTATCGTTATGATCCAAGACCTGGTCGATCTTTTTTGGCAAGATAATTTTAACATCCTTCAGGATTCACGATGATAGCTGGAAGTCAAAAATCTGAAATGAGTGATACCGAATTTTAGATAATTTTTAAATATAAAAATGAAAATGCCAAATTTTATGCCAAACGATGATGTTACAACCGATATCGGTATAAAATTTGTAACGAGTTTTTAAAGTTCCATACTTGACAATGCTAACTTCGATTAATTTGTCTTTGTTATATGTAGTGGACATTAAAAACCACATAGGCTACTTTGAAAACCAGCAATAGACCTGCTATGGATCGGGTTATAGACCGGTCCTGGACCACGGTCCAGTCCACAGTCCCCTGCTAGGACCGGTCTTTAGGACCAAGGTCGGACCGGGACGGACCGTAACATCCCTATGCTGAAGATTTTTTGTTTAATTAAAACTTAGGGTCTATGCCTATATTTTGTCAATGTTTGTTTAATTATTCGAAAATTAGAACGCTGTCTAAAACCATATTGAGGCTAAAAAATATGTTAGTTTATAAAAAAAAAATATATAATAAATGAATAAGATAAAAATAAATATACGTGTACGTACACGGGTAGTAGTGAGTTGCACGTTCGTGCAACATACGATTTTTTAACAAAAGTTAACCCATTTAATATTAGAGTAAGATTAGTTTTATAGCTTAGAGAAAGGCATAATTTATACTAAAATTTGCAAGGAACCTTTGTTAGAATCTCAAAAGTAGCTTTATTAATAAAATTTTTGAGAAATAACAATAACTGTGTAGGACATTACTAAGGTGCATCATAGGTGTTTAACAATTGTTGTATTTTAAAAACTATATAATTAGCCAAGCCCAAAGATACTAAGTAAAAATGTTTAGACCCTCCAAAAACCTTATGCCAATCCTAAATGTTAGCAATACATATATATATTAATACCATAAATAAAATAAAATAAAAAGAATAAATAAGAATTAATAAAATTTGGACAATGTGGGCGTACTATAATAATTATAATTAGCTCTATGAACTGGTCGAGTAATTCTCATGAACACGTGTGAGGAATCATGATTATAGTTTGTTTCGCGATAATATAGTTCACATTGCCCACACATGTCGAAGTCTGGACAGTGTCCACACTATAAAGAAAAAGTTTTGTATATGAAGGAAATCAATGATCAGTAAATATTTAGAAGACATTAAGGTTTATAAACTAACTTACTTTATATCTAATACCACAAATGGGGGTTTTCCCACAAACATCGCAAGTGATTTCAATATGTACATCTATAAAAGGAACTCAAATCAGCATAAAATAAAATAAAAATAAATAAAATAAATAAAATAAAATAAAAAGTAATATTTTTATTACTAGTCTCCATTGGTGCAAAAACGATTCTCTGAAGCAATATAATGTGTGGATCAATATAAACAGGATATTTAATTTTGAGGAATATGTGTTCTGGATTATGGGTTGAACCAATACACACATCACATAAGTCGAAGTTGGCACAATGACCGCACTATTCATCGAGAAATGATTTTAAATGAGAAGGATAATTTTTTGCTTGCACACAAAGAATTTATGAAGATTACTTTGTAACGGTATCCTCTTATTTGAAGTCCACATGAATCGCAATTAACATCATGCCAAACATTATCTATTATAATAAAAAGAAAGATTATAATAAAATAAACAATAACTTCACATCCAACTTTAAATCGAATCCCATCATTTTCCTAAAAACCACTTTTCGGACTATGTCAAAATGGCCCACATTAGGTTAGGGTGGGTTATTGTTAATTCTAGTTAAATTTTGTCGGGAAATGATTGTCAGGACAATGATAGAGACTCTTTAAAGTTACTTACATCCACCATAAGGATTTTTATTACTAGCATCCTGCCTTAACTCTTTATTCTCATAAAGTAAACTTGTAATTTCTTCACGTAATGAACTTATTGTACTTAAATTTTCATTTTTTTCTAATCTCAAACTATTACACTCTTTTTGCAAACTTGAATTCTCACTTTTAAGAGTTTCAATATCTCTTTTAACACCAACTTGGTATCGATCGATTTGTGACTTAAAGGATGTAATTTGTTCACGTAATGAACTTATTGTACTTAAATTTTCACTTTTTTCTAATCTCAAACTATTACACTCTTTTTGCAAACTTGAATTCTCAATTTTAAGAGTTTCAATCTCTCTTTTAACGCCAATTTGGTTTCGACCGATTTGCGATTTAAAGGATGTAATTTGTTCACGTAATAAACTTATTGTACTTAAATATTCACTTTTTTCTAACCTCAAACTATTACATTCTTTTTGCAAACTTGAATTCTCACTTATAAGAGTTTCAATATCTTCTTTAATGCCAATTTGGTATCGATCGATTTGTGACTTTAGGGATGCAATTTGTTCATGTAATAAACTTATCGTACTTAAATTTTCACTTTTATCTAATCTCAAACTATTACACTCTTTTTGCAAACTTGAATTCTTACTTCTAGGTGTTTCAGCGCCTCCTTTGACATCAATTTGGTATCGATCGATTTGTGACTTAAGAGATGTAATTTGTTCACATAATGAACTTACTGTACCTAAATTTTCACCTTTTTCTAATTTCAAACCATTACACTCCTTTTGCAAACTTGAATTTTCACTTTTAAGAGTTTCAATATCTCCTTTAATACCAATTTGATATCGATCTATTTGTAACTTAAGGGATGCAATTTGTTCACATAATGAACTAATTGTACTTAAATCTTCACTTTTTTCTAATCTCGAACCATTATACTTCTTTTGCGAATTTTCGCTTTTAAAACTTTCAATATCTCCTTTAATGCCAGTTTGGTATTCAACAATTCGTGGCTTAAGGGATGTATTTTCTACATTCTATTGATTAATAATATAAAATTCAGGTTCCTTTTGTTGGATACGTGATTACAATTATAATATAATTTACCTTTCGTTGCTCTGGTTTAACGTCACTACAATTATATACCTTTATATTGTATTTGAAAATTGTTTAGTGTATAAATTGATTTCACGGTTGTTCGCATTTTAAATGTTTATTCTCACCTCTTGACGAACATCTCTACAATTCATTTTTATTAACTATTGATTGTTAAATAAAACAGCATAATTAATATGTTCATTTTTTTATTTCCGTTTATAGTCGTTCAATAAAATTGGGTAACACTACATAATTGGTTACCAACTACATAGAAAGTACGTATGTGCGTACATACATATGTGATTAAATAAGAGGCGTTCGAAAATTTTTACAAGAGGATCCCAAAGTTTCCGGGTCGGATCCATCGGATTTAGGTCGGCATTTAGCAATACAAGTCTATAACGATAAGACTGTTTGAAAAATTTTGATCTTAAGGGTTTCGCGATTAATTTAGGGTTAGGGTCTTGCTAGTAGATTGGGTTAGAAGGTTGTAACTATACCCAAATTTCGCAAGGAACCCTTTTTATTAGTACGCAAAAGACAGTTTCATAGCCAAATTTTTGAGTTTTGGATTGTTTTCGTTTTTTGTTTACGTTGTACCTTATTAGAGGTTGGAACTAGTTTTATTTTCATTAACCGGTTGTATTAACTTTTTGAAGATTATAACCGAATATAAACGGTATTACGAATAGTAGTAGGGTATGGTTTAGTAAAGTAGTGGAGTATACTGCCAAAATCGCATTTGAGTATATAAAACATACTCATCATATATATCATACATTGTGTGTCCGATTTTTGGGGTCACGAGTTCCCGAATCGAAGCGATGATCTCTACCCGATCCAAAAAGTAACAGAAATGTTACTTTTGGTTACTTCCGTTACTTCTGCTACTTCGGCTACATATAAGTTAAATCTAATATCGACCTTTTATTAGATTTGGGTAAGATATAGAGTATAAGGAAGATATTACATTTATGAAAGAAATTAATTGCAAACGTAAATAATTCTTTTATTATAAATAAAGGGCTTCTCGCCCAGGGGAAAGAAAAAGAAGCGATACCCCAAGTAAATACATTTGCATAATAAAACTGAGTACCCGTCACTTAATAAAAGTGAAAGTACTATCCTATCCAAACTATTTAACCCCATTGTTATCACTATCGTTCGTCCAAAAACACCTAAACCGCAAATTGTTCGCTGCCATAAGTCACGTGATAAGGCCGCTAACGTAAGAGAAGTAGTGTAATCCCGGGTTGAGCCATACGAGAAGACAAGAATTAGAATAAGAATAGGTTAAAGGAAAGACTCAAAGAGGAGACCAGTACTTACCTACGGATAAACCCACAAGCCAGATCTAACACGCCTTTTTCGACTTAGCCACCGTAGGTTACACGAGAATTTGAAGAGATTAGTGACAGACTCGCCGATTTACCGAACGACAACATATAAAATAGTATAATCGTGAAGAAAAAATTCAAGATTGTTTGCACTGTTTTCAAACATTCGAGACTTTTACAAGAACACTTTAACAAAGTCAAGATTTTTACAAACTTGAACATCCAGTCCTTTAATAAATCATAGTAATTGATCCGAATAGTGTATTTGCACTAAGAAGGCATGCTGTATTTTGAATCACTAGTAGATCTCGATAACAAATTCGCATTAGAAAGCTGTGAAAAAACTTATCATATAAAGCAAATACAATGAATGAAATGCAGATTAAGAAATTCAAAAAAAAAAACTTTTGGATCATTAGAAATCGATCCAAAAAATGTGGAACAACATATCATGTGCTGTACAGATATGAATCGACCGGAGAGCCTACGGACACGTACTGATCATGTGATATTTCGCATTATGAACTAGGGTGTCCAGAATTATGCGATGCGATGCTATGCGCATAATTGACCATTTTTTCGCATCGCATATGCTTCGCATAATTAGGCGAAAAAAGGCATAAAAATCACGTGGCACGAATGTGATTGGTAGATATGATATAAATGATAAATTAATTAATTGCCTTATTCGGGGGAACGTTAAAGCCAGGTACCAGTTAGAATTACTTTTTTGATTCAGTTATTGTTAGTGGGTTATATAGATATCAAGAATACAATGTATGTAGCAGGTAGATGTAATTTTTTAACATTATGCTTTTTCTCAGTATAACTCTATAATATGATCGAACCCATTTGCTATATTATGCTTTGTCGATCATTGCGATATTCTATAGAGTTAAATTAGTATTTTATGCCTTGCATCATAATTAGAGAGTCTAATAGGTAGTATAAAAGAAGGGTTTTAACACACTAATAAAAAAAAAAGATTATTTTTGGTATTAGTTACACTTGAAGTATTTTTCTTGTAATTGTGTATTGAAGTAAATCATGAGTTTTGTAATTAATGCTTGTGGCACTGAGTTAAATCTGGTTTGAAGATATAAAGCTCTCCCTGGTCATAACAATGTACCTGGCTTTAACAGACCCTCTTATTCAGTAGTTCATTATATCAATGTACATAAAATGTAAAATAATGAACTAACAAACAAAACTAAAAAAAAAAAGTCACAAAATCTATCGATTTCAAAAAAAAAAAAAGATAATTTGAGTTGTAACATTTTTTATAAAGCAAATGAAACATTTAGTTTTTTTTTGCTATTTGTTAGAAAGCTTGATGAAATAAAAAAAAAACATCTAATTGAAACATCAAATATCATAGTTATAGTCACAGAACAACTTATCAGAAATCCTTTATATAAAATTGATTTTTATGCAAATAGAGGAAAATTTTTCTGTCAGTTTTGCTAAAACACTGTTGATCATGAAAAAAAATCTATGATAGACAACCATTTGGCATCCTTTAACCATCAATTAAAAAAAAATCAGCACTTGAAAAATCTTAAAAAATTTTTTCTCAGTTTGCGATTACTTCTTTTAGCAAATTTTATGATGAAAGAGAGCAATTTGTTTTTGAATTGGTTAAAATATTCGCTGAAACTGACATACTTTTTGAAAAAATATAACATTTTCGATTTTTCTTATAAGAACATTGTAAATATGATGGTGCAGTTCCTAATGCTAATCAAATTCGTGAGAAGTATCTTTTAATTTTATTTTAATAACAAGAACAAAAACTTAAAAATTTGTTAGATGGAAAAAAAATTTGTATTACAATAGATAAGACAACAGACTCTTGTAGTAAGGCAGTAATAAATGTTCTATTTAGTTATTTTGATTAAACAAATTTGGTTAAGATAAATTTTTTACAAGTTATTAACAAGATCATGATTTTTCAGCTTGTTATTTTAATATTATCATATTATGAAATTTTTTTTGAAAATATAATATTATTTATTACTAATAGTGCTTTATATATGTTAGTTGTGTTTAACATTCTCTCATCTTTAATGCTGCAAATCAAATATAATATCTGTTTTGCTCATATATTCAATTTGGTAGAAGAAATATAGATTGAATACAAAAATTTTAAACTCCTTGATTCTATAGTTAGTTTAATTAAAATGACCTTTATATATTTTTCAGCTAGGAAATGATGATGAGTCTTATTTCTTTCTTCAAATAGGTATTCTAACCCTACACTCTCGCTATTACCTATAAAAACAAGATAAAACATATAGTTTAAGTTTATATTTTGGATTTGTGATTATTTTACATATTTAATTAACTTTTATTTTAAAGAATCTAAAATTGGTAATGAGAGCACAGCAGTTTTAGAGTTGGTTAAAGTTTTTGAAAATCATGATAATTTGTTTTATCTGCAATTTATTCTTTATTTTGTAACTTTTAATATGCAATTGTAAGTAAAACATATACTTATATAAATATTAGTATTTACTATTTTATTTACTCTATTTATTTAATATATAGATTAGTCAAAAATTTTGAGTTTTTTAAAATTTAGAATAAACCAATTGCACTATTCCTTGCAAACAGGTTAGAACAAGTACATGCTTTTTTAAATTTGGGCTGCCAATTACCTTCTAAATTGAATGAAATAGTTGATCTTTGCGAAATATATCAGTATGATATATTATTATATAATGAAATCTTTAAGAAAGCATTTCAATTAGTTTATGAAAAATTTAACAAACATATTGGTAATCATTCTGCATTTTCAATTTTTAAAGAAATCTGTTGCTTTGATTACTAATGTATACAAGCACAAACAGATCGATGTAATATTGCATTATATAAGACAATTGAAGAGTTGAAAATTCTATTAAATAATCTTATTAATGAATGAGCAATTTATACAGAGTTATTAGAAACATTTAGTGAAAGTTTTGATTTGAATAATTATTGATATAAAAAGACAACTTTGTTACCAATTCTTAGTAAAATCATATTAGTATATATTTGGTTCCCAGTTCTGATATAGATGTAGAATGTAGCTTTTCAGCTTATAAATGAATTTTAATGGATAATAGGTATGCTTTATCAGAAAATTCAATTAGAATATTAAATTTTTGAATTTTAATATGTAAATAAATGCTATTATAAAGGATTTAAAAATTACATAATCAATTTATTTATTCATATAATTTTAAATTTATTTCACATTCAATGCATAATTGATCACAGTCAAATCATATAATTTACTCTATTGCATTGCATAATCCTGGACACTCTATTATGAACACATACTAATCACATGATATTAATTTATTACATAACTATTTTTTATGAAGTAGCAAACTTAAATAAAAGTGCAATTATCAAAGACTTCACTTTAATTAACTAATCAATTAATCCAAACTGTACACAATAAAACATATCAATATAGCAATTAAAAATGACTTATTATAAGATGACTCAGTTCTAAAAATTGGTCTATAAACTGACCTATAGTATGTCTATTGGCTGGTTTTCAAAGTAGACAATATGGCTTTTAATGTTCACTATATATAAAAAAAGACAAATTAATTAATATTAACATTTTCAAATATAAAATTTTAAATAACTCATTACAAATTTATGCCAATATTAGTTGCAGTATTATCATTTGGCATAAAATTTAATATTTTATTTTATATTTAAAAATTATCTAAAATCCATATCACTTATTTCAAATTTTTAACTTACAGGTATCATTATAAATTCTGAATAAGGATGTTAAAATTATCTTATTAAAAAAG